CGCGGCACAGGCAGCAGAAGAGGGACTGGAGAATGCTGCGGCTTCGAGGCTTCTTGGCGGGGGTCTGGGTACCTGCGGGAGGGCAAAGGGGGGTGAGGGGTACCCCGAGGGTACCCCCAGCGCAGCACTGGGGGCCAGGTGAGCCATGTTTGGGTGTTGCCCAGAGCCCCCGTGCCCTTATCAGACCCCGACACCCATCCGGTCGGCCTTCCTGCCCTGCCAGCAGCGGTGCCAGGGCAGCGCCGCTGACACCAGCGCTTGGTGACCACCCACAGCCCCTCACCCGGCACGTCCCTCTCCACGAGTGACCCCCGTGGGCCCCTGCGTGGCCGGAGAGCCCAGAGCAGGGCGCGGGGCTGAGCCCGGGGTCGGGGTCGGGGCCGGTCCCCGCGGTCCCGCCCGGGCACAGCCCCCCTCGGGGAGCAGGGGGGTCCTGGGGGCGGGGCCTCTCCGAGGGAGGCGGGGCTTACGCCCGTTCCTTTCCCCGCCTCCAGACAACTCCCCCGTCTCACTGGCCCACTCGAGGGCACCGGAGGCGAGAGGCCAATCAGGACGAAGCGCCCGCCCCTGGGCGCCGTTCCCGCAGTCCCCATTGGCGGGGCGAGGGGAAACTGAGGCAGAGGGGCTGCCCGTGCCCACCCCGTGCCCCAGGGGCAGCGCGACGCCTCCAGCGGCCCCACCGGTGCCGGGGCCGGCTCCTGCCGCAGCCCGGGCCGGGGCTGCAGCCCGCCCTGGCTGTGCCCCCCTCCAGGCGGGCCAGGGCCCCGAGCCCGTAGTGGGGAGGCCGTGGGGCCGGAGCTCCCCACTGGGGACGGGGCCCGTTCCCACGTTTGCTCCTCCCGGTCCCGGCAGCTTCCCAGGCCAGGGAGACGAGCACCGGCCCCCTTGGCGGGGTGGAGGGGACGCGGAGAACGGGACGCCGGCATGCAGCAGGGCGCTCGGCGCCCTTCCTGCCTCAGTTTCCCCGCCGGCGCAGCGCGCACCTCTCGCCCGGCTCCGGAGGAAACAGCGCCGATAACCCGAGCAACGCCCCGAGCCTTCCCGGGCACCGGCGGGCTCCGAGGGGGCCGGACCGCGGCCCCCGGGCCCGGGCGGGTGCAGACAGCCCCAGCGCATCTCCCCGGCCCCAGGCAGCGGGATGCAGGGGGCGGGCTGGGGCGGCGCGCAGCTCATCACACCCTCCTCCAGCAGCCCCCCGACCCCCCGGGGACCTCCCCCTCTCCCGCGCAGCAAGGGGGCGAGGGGGAGAGATCCCCCGCCGCGTTACCTTTCTCCTGAAGCGGGGCGCTCCCCTCCTCCCTGCTAACCTGGGCGATGATGGACTGGTGCTCCATGGGCGCCGGGGAGGGGGTGGGAGGGGGCGGCCCCCCCCGGCGCGGCCCCCGG